CGTCTTCCTGAATTTCAGCCTCAATTTCCCGCCGTCTCACCTGGGCTCGTAGGGAAAGCATTCTCATTTCGTCTTTTAGCTCTTGCTCGCGATACCGACGCCTTAGTGCGGTTTCCGCTTCTTCGAATTCCAGCTGAGCATTAGCAATAGCAAGCGCTGCTTTCGTCCTTTGGGATTCCGATGCCGAACGCAAACTGTTGGTTCTGAATCGTCTATGGGTTAGTCCGAAATCTTGTAAGCTGCCGTGGTACGCCATGATGGAAATTTCCGTGGGATGATTGAGAAATGTTTTTACTTTATATAACACGCAGGGGTTATATAGGTTAAATAAAAGTCAAAGAAAAGGCATGTGTTTTTCACTGGATCTTGGTTTATTCACATGGATTCACAAGACACTTAAAAACATTTCTGCCATTCCTTTAAACTATAAATTTCAAGTAGAAATAACGGATTCAAAAGTAAGAGTACTATGTGTTCCTCCTACGAAGACACTGTGATGAATGAAACAAAGTGCAAAACTCATGGGGCACCACCCTGAATGAAAACTTGTCATTTATGCAAATGAATGCATTAGATGAGCTGGACACCAGGCTCCTCAATCACAACAAAAGTAAACTAAACCTTACAGAGGGTATAATAATATAAAATATCAAAATTAATTGTGTGAGTCAGTATTATAGAAACATTACACAATGTGTGTGCGTCACTGGCGTGACTCAAGTGTTCACTTTTTCGTGGAACGTCAGTGATACTACAGGTGGTGGTGTTCTTCACTGACAGTCTGACAGCGAGGAAGAAACTCGCCAAACCCTTGACCTAATCTTCTGCTAGGATTGTCCTCTATCGAGTCCTTCTGTTCCTCAAAACTTAAGCCTGCTCACGTGCCCTCCCTTTCCTTTCAAAGTGTCTCACAGACACGATTTGTCCGGTATTCAGTGCACACGCACCTGAAAAGGTGTGATATGACTTATAAGACCTGAGTTAAATCACGTGTAAGGTGCATAATGAATTTTAGGCCTTTACATGTTGGTTAGGATGCAATGAGTACACTGAAAATGTGCAATAGAGATACCCTTATAAATATACAGTTATACAGTGATTTACTATAACCACTCAAATAATGAAGATATTAACTACTGAGCCTGAATGACTCTTACGACTCAATTGCCAGTAGATGCGGTACTGTCTTCGAAAATTCCGATAAGAAGGGTATTAGTAAAGTACTGAAGCTAATATTTAATCTGGAGTTTCCTCTCTTTGCATATAAGTATAATAACATTTTTTCATCTATGATTATTCTTCGGCCAAGTTTTGTATGGTATTTTTGGTATATTAAATGCTTCGTACGTTGTGATGCGCAGATCGTTGCATAGGAAGGACGCCGTGAGAAAGTGTTTGTAGATAATAGATTTATCCACGGTTTTTTATGGGGCATAATTTGGCGATTAAGGGGAAAATGTCTGTAATTACCAAGAAAAATCCATTTACAATACAAAAAAGCCTAACGCGTTGTGCCTTGAAGTATTATCCTGTGGATGACTAAGACCCCATTCCCATAGATTTTAGATCGATCTGTCCCTGTGGGGAGTCTCACTAGATTACTGTCAGCTTAGCCGGCTTAAGCGTCTGTCCCGCCTACTAAAAGCAGTAAGGGGGTAATTAACTATGGTGCGCGCTCGTCTGACTGCAATTTAGCGTGAAACCCCAGGCAGTTAGGTCGATCTAAATCTTACAACCCATTTCCATAGATTTTTAGATTGATCTATCCCTGTGGGGAGTCTCACTAGATTACTGTCAGCTTGGCCGGCTTAAGCGTCTGTCCCGCCTACTAAGGGGGTAATTAACTATGGTGCCCGCTCGGCTGACTGCAATTTAGCGTGAACCCCCAGGGAGTTAGGTCGATCTAAATCTTAATCTTTAGATCGATCTAAATCTCTGGGAAAGCACCCTTAATCTCTGGATCGATCTAAATCTCTGGGATGCACCCTAAGTCCCAGTTATTAACATGAATAGAATTCAAAGACATCAAAGTGTGCAGATTCTGAGTGTCATAGGTCACTGACGTCTCTAGAACATCTAAGACCCTGTTCCCACTCTTATTGTGTCTATCACTTAATTACCCTCTAACAGCTTTAATAGGTGTGACAGACATCAGAGTCGCTTAAGCTGAATGCAATCTAGCGAGAGACCCCTCGGAGATGGGTCGATGCTGCTAGATCGATCTAGGTATGGGAACGGGGTCTAAGGCTCACCAAATCGGTGCATAAGTAAGCTCAGCGCCTGTGTTATGGTTCGTAGGCACACTTTGGGCAAAGAAATCCAAGATATGCAGTTACAATCACCCGGCTGGTGCAGACATCCTTTTAAGTGCACTGCGTGTGAAAGAGACAAAATGTCTGAGTAATCAATGAATTCAGTGTACCTCATTCTTGAGAGCTCAGCACCCTTGTTATTGAGCATTTGACCCCGAGGAATGAGGTTACAAACAATGAAGTAGGGGGTCGATTTCAAACAATAACTGGGCTGTAAAGTCGCCTGCAGCATTTTTCACAAAAGAGCTTCGTCCTGGAACTAGGTCTACCGTATTTAAGGTCAATACATACGTAGTACACTGGAATGAAGTGGGTATTGGCTTGTATCTTCCGCAATATCTTCCTCGTTATAAAACAACCACAATGTTTAGTTTGATATAGCTGTAGTGCTGATCTAATCTGGGTAGAATTCGAGTAAGGGCTCATTCTTAATGAAACTATAGCCCTACGTAGATCACAACCACGCGGGGACTCTCGCTGAATGCAATCAGATTAACTGATTAACACCCTTCCTCCTGGCGTTGAGTAGAATGCAGAAAAGCTGTTGTATATGAGTATACGTGGAAACGTAATCAAAGCTGACCAAAACTGAATACCAGAAAAATGTGCGCTTAGCACTTAGTTAAAGTTGAAAACAATCTTGTCCTGATTTCAAGACAATAGAGAAGCCATGCTGCACAGTTGTATCTACCATTACAGGTGTTAAGTATAATATCATTTTTTCACACGAAAAAAAGGTTTATGAGTTCAAAAAATCCCATTATCGATACCTCCGGGAAAAACAATTAAAATATAAAGGCAATTAAAGCTGTTTATACGCCTAGGGCGGGACGGTGCTGCATGGTACTGTAGAATATATATTTGAGAGCACTGTGCTAACACTGGAGCCAAGAATCATATGATTTTAAGAAGAAAAACAAACATTGGACCAATTCTGTAGGACATCCACTCCCCATAAAGGCTCACTTAATAGGAGGTGTGGTCACAGTCTGAGGCTTTCTTGTGATCACATGAGCAAATATCACTATATATAGATCTAACAATACGGGGATTGGAATGCGCCATGTCACTAGGCTGACTCGCATGCGTTGTTCTACCCCGACTTCGGGGACTTCGGGGACTTCATAACTGCATGAGAAAATGCCAACATGAGTGAATTTAACTGCACGAGGACGGTAGAGTAGCGAGAAGCTGATCGGCCATTCATTCTTGTTATTTTAAGCGTTAAGGCGTCGAAGGCATTATGTCTACAAATACCTGGTTCACCCGCACCGTATTTTTGATGTTATGTGTCAGCGCCGGCATCCTGCTACGATTGTCTTGGGGAGGATCGAACAATCGGCCCAGTACGCGTGGATTGTTGATAGCAGATACGAAAGGTAGGCCTGCGTCTTTTTGGTTTGAAATGATTTAAAACTTGTTTGAAAACCACAAAATACGGAAAGCCCACTTAAACTGAAAACACCACAGGTTAGCTATGCTTGTGAAACCGAAACTGCAAGCAGACATGTATAGCCACCTTTGGTCTACCCCCCTATCACGACCGCTAGGTGTTACCTTTCGAGCCTCCACAGAGCAGTGTGTGTGTGTGTGCGCGTGTGTGTGTGTGTGCGCGTGTGTGTGTGTGCCCCACATATACAATGATGTCTTCAAGCCTTAAGGTACATCTTATGGTGCGTTCCCCATGAAACTAACGTTCTACGTAGATCAAACCGACTCCACGGGGACTCTTGCTGAATGTTGTCAGATTAACTGAATGGCACATACGCCTCTTTGAGCAGGTAAGTGTCGATAAACATTATATTAGCGTGCGGTTGGCTTTGGGAAGCTTTTTCACTTCATTTTGAGTGCGAAACAACGCACACGCTGTTACTTCGAATTCTCCCCTAGCTGGTCGACGAGGTGTGTCATTCAGTTAATCTGATTGCATTCAGCAAGAGTCCCCACGGAGTTAGATATATCTACCTAGTATGACAGTTTCACTGGACGTGCACGCCACCCTTAGTCAACACTATGTATAGAAGCAAGTCCTAATCTGATTTTACTATAACACCTATATGTATAGTTCTATTGTATTCACGCCACATTACGTGGCGCAGTAGACGTGTTGTTACAGGCATCAGTAAGATGGGAATGGAAGTCGGCTAGGAACCGTAGACCGTTCCCCATTACTTTCGTCCCATATACTAACCCCATTTATTTAACTAACCCTTACCTGTACTAATCATATTGGAGCCCAATCTGCCCATTCTTATGACTACCATTCCTTTCACACATGTACAAACTGGCTACAATAAACGTTGAACACCTGATTTACATGTATCTCCTTTGATTTATTAATTAATTTGTTTGTTTGTAGTAAACTGGTATTTTTCATTAACTTTCTGGAGAATCGTTCTAAGTTATATGTATACAGAAGAATTAAAATATCATAAATGTTCTAATTAAGAGCTTGCATGCAAATTGACGTTTATGGATACCAGTAGCTGTAGGCTTCGTTAGTGTTGTTTCTGCATGGTGATATTGAAATATACAACCATATCATCTCGTACGCTTCGTAAACCTTGAAAACGATCAAGGTAGTATAAAAACCAACAGCAGTCACATGGCCTAGATATTTTTATGGTAAATCTAAAATCATATGCATGCTAGCTCTTTCAGTTGACGACTGCAGTAGATAATTCGAAAATAATTGTTTACGAATAGCGTTGATTTCAGATATGTTGTGCTTGTTTTAAAACCCATCAGGGAGGCTTGAAAGAAAACTTGAATTATCAAACTATAGTGTTTATTTATTTATTTATTTATTTATTTATTAATTTATTAATTTATTTATTTTTTGTTTATTTGTTTATTTATTTATTGTTAAAACCATTCTCTTGGGACCCCTTGTATTGTAAGTGGCAGACCCATTTGCAGGAAAATGTTTATCCCTTCATTTTATATTAACTCCTCTTCACTATACGTATACCAAAGGTTACATCGAATACAATGTAAGCCCTGCTGTACCCCTACTATAACTTTCGGAGTACCCCCTCTCCTTCCTAAAATGGTTAACCTTCATATTAAACTTGAATTATTATTATATTGACATAAAACTAATATACTACAGTGTTTATATTTGGTCGAACATATTTCGTGAATTTTATTCCTTGCCCCCCCCCCCTCTCGTAGTTGTTCGCTAAGCGTATGTTGTTCAAATTTCCAAAACATTGCACTGTTTTAAATAGTACTGTACCTAAGAACTTTCTTCTCTGTTTAGAACCAGCTTCAACCAATGCCACAGGAGACACATACCCAAGGCAGGACGAGTCCCAAACTGACATCGTCATAGTGCTCGCCTATTACAGGAGTGGATCAACGTTCTTAGCGGAGATATTTAACCAGAATGCAGAAGCTGTGTACTTCTTTGAGCCTCTGCGATGGTTTAGAGAATCATTCTTCAATGAGACGTTTTATATCTACCCTGGCAATACACGAAGGTAATTTGTGCTCTCTCCTCTTTTCTTTTTATCTCTTTTTTATTCTTATTTTCCTGTCCTCAGTGTGCTTTAACAGTCCAATGTAATAGCAACCGAAGGAATACTTTTCTTTATATACCATGTAAATTCTTTGCTGTTTGAGAGGCTTCTCTTATATTTCAGAAACACCTAACGCTTCAATCAAAATAATTACAAAACTGTCATAAAAAGATGAATTACATATTGCATTGCATGTGATATTTTAATCATTAGCCGATGTTGTAAAAAAAATACTCATGTGCACAGTCTGCGCAGATTGCCAAAAAAGCTAATATAACAGAGACTCCTTAAATTAAGTATTATGTTGTTTGGGGCAATATATATATATATATATATATATATATATATATGTGTGTGTGTGTGTGTGTGTGTGTGTGTGTGTTATTATTAAAAATTCTGGAGAAAAAAACTGCGAACTGTTTGTCTATGGGTTCAATTTTAGTTCCTAATTCTTCTTTGTGTCTTCCAGTCCTTTCCTGCAGGGTAACCGATCTGCCTGTTATATTCATGCAGTTGTTTGTTTGGGCGTTTGTCTCTGTGTTTGTCTGCGGTGCAGCATAAAAAAAAACATTTTTATCTTTTTTGTCTTTACAGGATGGGACCCATGGGCACAATGGCTGCTGACAAACAGGCCGCATTCATGGTGGACGTCCTCAAAAAACTTATCCATTGTGATATAGAGCATCTGCCGAAGTCTGTATATTTCTTAAATATGAATATGCGAATTTGGCCTTTCTGCAATCCCGAGCAAAAGAACTTAAAAGATATGGAAAATTGTTTCAAAGAAGTCGGAGATACAAGCGACAAGTGTACAGATATTCTCAAGGAAGTATGCACGAGATTCAGCTTCAAGGCATTTAAGGTGATACGCCTGCCCTTGAACGACCTTGACCCCATTCTGGGTCAATATCCAAATGCCAAGGTCATTCATCTCATCCGAGATCCAAGAGGATCGATCAATTCGCAACGCTGGCTCTACGAGTATTGTGGGCTTGAATGCGCAGTACATCGACATTGTAATGAGCATATGTTACCAGACTTAATAAGCAGGAGAACGCTAGAAAAACGCTACCCAGGGAGAATATTGCAGGTGATTTACGAAGACGTGGTGGAGGATCCCGTCCTTTGGAGTAATAGAATTTACAGTTTTCTAGGCCGCACAATGCCTGGCAATATCGAATCGTGGCTTAAAAGGGCCACCGGGGCTGAAACAGACAATGGAACGTGGGGGACAAAAAGGCGAAATGCCCTAGAAACGGCGCACAGATGGAAGACAGATATGCCGCTCAAGATGGCGCTTCAGGTGGATGCGATTTGCGCTGAGGTATTGAAACTTCTTCCAATGTACGAACCCGCTTTCAGAATACTGCGGCAGCAAAATCTGTCAAATGCAAATATAAGTAAAACGTGAAATTAGAATTATTTAAAATATGTCATTTTGTAGTGTCAAATGGTCTCAGAAAAGGTGCTCTACCATCAGTTTTCGTTCAGTTAATATATACATGTATAGACGTCCAGAAAACATGTCAGTCATTTCAGTATAACTCTAGTCCGATACGTAGAAAGCTAGTGCAGAATTTCAGGAGGGAAACGTTTTGGGCCCTTCGCTAAGTTAATTGGTCACAATCCACGGGAATGCTTTATCACACCTACCACAATCTTCAACTGTGCCCTCAGGTATGACGTTTTAAATAAGATTAATTGCTTGGGTTGCCGTATTGCCGACAAACTTTACGATGATTTTTTTAAAATAAAGGTATTAATTGAAATGCAGTAATCAAAATCCCTTTATGCTCTTTGTATAGTAATCGAAAGGGTAGAGTCAGCAAACATAAAAAGGTGCTTAGCAACAAAATGTATAACAAAATGCCAGTGAGACCCGTAGCTTTCATAAGATAGCTACACAAATGTATGGCAACCTGAATACCATTGGCTATTTACACAATAATAGTCATTAAAAGTAAAAAATTCAGTGAGAAGTGGACATAAAAATGTATAATGAGATTTGCATCCATGTTTCCTATTGAGAAACAAACAGAAGGCATATAAATGGAGCTTAAGGTCATCAAAGAGAAGCATGCTTTCGTATATTCTTGTTAAACACTACCATGTTTGGCCATTCAATTTTTATTTTGTATTGGCACTGGAGCTGTGGGACCAGTGTCAGATATGTGGCCCAAAGATGTTTGGCCAATGTGGTAATGGTTTCATTCACAGTTGCTTATTACTATGCATGTGTTTGCGTTTATAGGTCTGGCATAGGTCTGCCCATAGATTGCACAGTCTTGATGGGATATTCCGAATGATGGTAAATTCCAAAGGAGTATTACATGTATGATTTCAATAAGTTCAAAATAAGACAGAATGTTGCTTATAACCATTCATTAGTGTCTTAATTAGTATAATTCCTTATTCTACCCTCAAGTTAAAGTATAATGGGTGATATTTTATACGATGGGGTACCTTCTAGTGATAAATTATGAATAAACTTTAAATTGTTAACTTTTTTTATGTTTTTTTTTTTGCTTTTAAAACAACAACAGCCTCTGTAGTTACAGTGGTCCTCATCATAAGGACTTTGCCCTTGAGTTAAAGGTTTATCCTACTGAACATCACCTTGTACAGTGCAGGGTGGGGGGATCCTTGATCCTTGCAAAAATAAAATAAAATAAAATAAAATAAAATAAAATAAAATAAAATAAAAAAACGGACATTGTGGTTCGACACTACTGTTATAACTCTACTCTAGGATTTTAAAATTCTAAGCATTGATTCGGGTGGGACGTTTTTCTAGCTGTCCCCGAAGGTAAAACAAAACAGCGGACGTCTTTTTATTGTATCTTTGATTATGGCACCCGGGTACAACGCATGTTTGCGGCATGTTGTTTTTATGACACGTCGATTTTTCGTCTACTGTCCATGTGTTATCACTGCAACACACGCTCAGTGGAGTCCGAAGTTCTGACGCACATGAAGTCATTAAAAACTGGCCAATCAAAATGTTCTCATATCTATATTTGTTGTAATTGGTTCATAGTGTTGTTTATGAATCAGTTAACATTTTGTATTTTTTAGAACACAATTAGTATTTAACATATGGCATCGGGTTAATTAAAGATTAACATACGTAAAACTATTTTCTGGGATACTGTCATTTTTAACTAAAACAGCACCTTTCCTGTTCCTTGATTTTATAACTTATATCTTCCTTGATTTTATATCTCATGACAATTTAACAAGAAGAGAATTGCTAAATGTTCAGGATGGATTCATTTTTTTTTATGACCACCTCTCACGAAAGTCTGTGTTTATTTCATAATTTTAAGAGATTAAAACAATTTTGAAAACACCAAATTTGTTTCTATATCAAAATACTTTCACTATTCACACTTTTTCACATGACGTCTTTAGATTGACTCCCCGACGACACGTTCATATCGGAGACACCGTGATGAGACCATGAAGTGCTGTGATGCCTCTGCCACCATTACCGCGAGTCATTTATTTCAAATTTCGAATATAAGACCTAAACCACGAATACAGCAAAAAAAAAAAAAAAAAAAAAAAAATCATCCAACTTATAGCGCAGTAGACACCACGATGTTTCCAAAGCATGAATCCAGCAATTGGCTTCTATGAACTTTTCTATCTCTTTGGTGACTTAAAATCAACTTTTGCTTTGCACACTTGTTGAAAGAAAGTTTTGAGAATTTCTACTGTAGAGGTACAATTACCTTGACCAGCATGTATGGTATTCAGAAAAAGTCTTCAAGCAGCTCTTGGAAAACATCGTCCGGGAACAAAGAAAACAAATTAAAATTGTTGAACCCACAGTGCTAACTGTTAAAGTTTTATACTTCAAATCCGGTACGCTAGTCCCAAAGCGAACCATACATTTACCAGTGCTATGAAAATATATTACCGGATATAGAATATCTAGTCCATTTTTAAACACGTTGCTTACTAAGTTCATTTATATCATTTAAACTTTATATGCTTTCGCAACTAACACAATCTAAGCCTTTCCTACGATAATTAATTTAACTATATGATCCATGTAACTGTTCTGTTTAAAATAATCTTAGTATTTAGAATTACAATTTACAAAATTCATTCTGAAGTTGTTCTCTTTCTGTTTACCTATTTATGTCTCGAAACGTAGTAGTACAGTTTCAGATACTCGACTCGTTTAAAAAGCTAATGAAAACGATGTGTGTTTTTGTGTGCACTGGTCGGTGGGTTGGTATTACCTTTCAAAAATAAGAAAATTTCGTTTGTTAAAGATCTTCTTGTCATGAATTGTAATGATATGTAAAAAAAGATCCCCATAACGTTATGTAAGAACGCCCAAAATTGCCCCCCCTAATGACTTAAATGCTGCTATTAGAAGGGTTAAATGTGACCAATATATACTAAAAGACTCATTACATTGCTATTTCAGTTTGAATATCATTGAACATGCAAGCAAGCAAACTACAAAAACACGTGTGCATAACAAAGGCAAAAAGTTTTTACCCATGCCACGTTTTGAAACATTTAACTGGGAGACCCGCATAGTTTGGCATCAGATCATCGGAGAAACACGTATATGTTTAGAGTCCGCTTGCAGCATTCCTACTCTGTTTTCCTAGAGACACCATGTTTGGACATTTTCTGCTTGCCGCGTTGGCGTTGTCTTATCGTTTTGGCAGTGGATCAGGAAACCCACCGCCAGGTATTTAGAACTATTTACATAAAATATATGCACGGGGAAGGCCAAATTTGTTATATATTTTTGGTGCTTTGTGAATAAGACACAATGAAGCAGAATGCATATAAATATAGGTCTCAGAAAAATATTTGGAGACACTGGCTGCAGTGTAACTCTCCCTTTTCGTCTCGAAGGACCCTATCAGATCATTGCATAAAATTTTCCCGCCAAAATGAAATTTTAGAAGTTCTCTCCACCGGTTTGAAAATCCCCACGGACACATTCATGCCCTGTAAAGCTTCTTACATTTCCAGGTGGATGTCATAAAAGAAATACATAATTAAAGAACGAAGGGAGGGAAGGAAATACCTGTAGCAGAAATAGCTAAAATAGCAGATGTTATCACAATCATTTTTCCTAAACAGTCTTTCCCGAGTTTTTTTTCACAGCAGACAAATTGCCACAATTATCTTATTAGCGTTTAAGATCACAACCACTTTCTGTTATCTGTTTTTTTTTTTGTGAATTTTCATAACCTAACCGATCAAGTATTTTAAATACCTAAGATTCCAGGTATTTCTCCCTGCCTTTTGTTCCCGAGTTTTCCACATCTAACTGGTCTGTTATGTTGTTATAACCTAGGATCACAACCATATTCTCTGAATTACTTCACTCAGAGTATCATTTGTCAAAGTACATACAAGACTGATATACAGACAAAATAACTGCTTAGTGAGGCAATTTATCCCACAATAGTTGTGGTCTTGACATTAATTGTTTTAAAATTTTAATTATATACTTATCATTTGATCACAGTAAGCGTCATAACTATCTCTGTTCTGTTGATGACCTTCCCTTGTGTGGGTATTCATGTTTTACTTTAAGGTGGTGCTCGAGTTCTGCACTTCCCTGAGCCAGATAGCACCCTATCATGGTCACTACTACACACCAGTACCCCGGATTTAAATGCATTCACAGCTTGTATATGGATCAAAACTATCCGCACCACAAGCGGCCCCATTCTATCCTACGGCTCAGAAAGTTGTCGTCGGAGTATTGAACTTGGATACAGCCCCGTTGGTCACGGCTACTCCGTTGTTTTGAAGGACGTTAGCGTGCTGGATAGAAACTCTCGTGCTGAAGCGCCCCTACCAGCCGACGGGAACTGGCACCACTGGTGTGTGGTGTGGAGTGTTGCCAAGAGAGAGATTAATATGTACAGGGATGGTCTCCACACACTGAGTCGCCCTGTGAACGTTACACTTATACCTGGAGGTAAGACCATGGTGTTTGAATGGTACATAAAGAATTGCTGTATTATACATCATATTGTGAATCAGAGCACAGGAGGTGGACAGCTTTATACTGCACTGAATATACATGTACATTGTTGTTTTTATTTTATAGTATGAATGATCGCCCAAGATTTCATATTTGTCTATACCTTTTTCATTATAACTTGATTTTAGGTGGAAAATGGGTGGTTGGGCACACCCATTACGAGACAACACCTGATTGTCCTCCTAAGCATCCATCTTTTGTGGGGTTCGTCGGCGGCGTCAACGTCTGGGACCATGATAAAGTCGACATCCCCGGCCTGGCGATATGTGCCAATACTAACGAGGGGAGTCTCATTTCTTGGGATACTGTCACCAAAACTAACTTCAAAGTTGCAACATATAAGGAGTATTGTTAAAATGTTACAACTTTCAATCCTTTCCTTAACGAAAGACTGGATTGTTGTAAATTAGTATTTGGTGCAAAACAGTTTTCTTGGACACTGTTGTTTCTGCCAATGCTCTCTCGAGGTAGCGTCCCCTATTCATCAAAATATGAGCAAGACTACTTCCTTTGCCTTTGAATTTTTTCTGTTACTTAAGTTTTCGTGTCGGCTTGCCTTTGTAACCATAAAGCATTAATGAAATTGTCAAGATTAAACCCAATGTGGTCGATGCGCCACGAAGCAGACATTTAGGGACCATTCCCACAGAAATTTGGATCGATCTATTTCCCTGGGGAGTCTCCCTAAATTGCTGTCAACTTGACCGGCTTAAATGTCTGTCACGCCTAGTAAAGCTGTTAGGGGGTAATTATCTTTACCCCTATCTGTTTTGGTAGGCGTGACAGACATTTAAGCCGGTTAGTTTATAACAATTTAGTGAGACTCCCCAGGGAGTAAGGTCGATCCAGATGGATCGATCTATGTATGGGAACCCAGTCTTAGTGACAAGTAAAATGTTATCACATCAGTCCAATGAAGGTATCCGACCATGTAAGCTAACAACGGTAGTGTTGGGGGTGGTGGGCTCATGACCTAGTTAGATTCCACTTTACCAGAATAACACGATTCAGAGCTGGGCCTCTGAGGACGTGTATTTTTACAGCGCCCCTTGCAGAGTAGACAGCGGCTCTTAGAGTGTGTTAGGCTTTTCGCCTTTATTATGAGAACCACTTGTCTTTGATAGGAAGGTAGGTGTCTCGCCTGCCTGGTATGAGATACATAGTCATTTATATATGTAGGGTGCCCTGAAAAGGACATTCCGTGCTGAGTAGAGAGCGACTCTTAGAGTGTGTTAGGCTTCTCGCCTTTATTATAGGGAAAGAACGTCTTTATAAGAGAGTAGGTGTCTCGCCTACTTCGTATGAGATTTATAGATACCGATCTACACTGGGGGCCCTGAAAAGGGCATTTCGTGATTGGCACAATAGAGGCGTCTCGCCTGTCGAGGGAAGGGGGAGGGTGGACTGGTTGCAGAAAGCGCTTTTCGGTCAACAAGTGACCTTCATCAGCTGCAGAGTCCGATTAATAAAAAAAAGGAAAAATTTAGGGACGTAGGGGCTGGTAAGCAAAGGTGTCTCGCCTTTGTTTAGTAAGTTTTCATCATGGTGTCTCGCCATTGTGAATGATACGGGCCATCTCGGCTTTTAAGTATCATGCTTTGTTTAGTGATTTTCATCAATGGTGTCTCGCCATTGTGAATGATACGAGCCATCTCGGCTTTATAGTATCATGCTTGATCACAAGTGTCTCGCTTGTGTCAAAGTGGACGGTATGAATCGAGCGTGTGAATGGCTCAAGAGTCGGAGGTCGACTGAGGATTTGTTGAAATTGTGTCAAATCGAGATCGAGGCCGCGATCTGATTGGTTGTTTCAGTTATGAGTTTTGATTGGCTGTTCTCGTGGTGTATCTTGATCCTATCTGTTTAGATGTAGTTTATTTGGTTTCATTTTTGGCAAGGTATTTTAACCTCGGATCAAGTTTATTAGTATTCTTATGCTGTGCATTTGCGTGTTAACACTGAATTTTCATTTGCTAGGATGGTCTGTATAGGTTTCGGGCACCTCTTTTAATTTTGGAAGGCTTTCTCCTTGTTGCTTATAAATAAACTGAGATATCATCTCGCCTTTTATTTGCGATGTTTGTGTCTTATAAGTCGATTGTGCCCTGTAAGTGTTTAAAATTTGGTCTAAATGAGATTATGGCATTTTGCTTTATCTCCAGAATGACTTTTCTTTTCTTTATTGATTATAAATAAGTGTGGGGAAGGCATCTCGCCTTTTATTTGCATTATTGCGCTCTATTTGAACATTCAGGTTTAGCTTTTCCTGGTAGAAATGGGTGGCCCTGAAAAGGGCCGTTTTTTTCCGAGGACGTAGAAGCAGTGGCTTCTATTTTACAGTGTAGTTTTCTTGGCTGAGGTTAGTCTTCGTTTCACTTTGCTGGCTAGCACGCGGCTCTTCTTCTTGTCCTTCATGGCGAGAATGAGGAGTCTCATTTGCTCCATGATCTGGTTGTTTGTGGTCGTTGAAGTAGAGGGTTGGTTTCCTGGCGTGTACACGCCGTGGATGTTGAAGTGCTCTTCCGCCCTGGATTCCCTCTCTTCTGCCTTTGCTAAGCTTTCCTTAGCTTTGTCTACGAAAGCTTGCGTGTGGGCCTCGATCGCGGATTTAAGCTCTGTTGCGGCCTTGTCTTGTATGTTGATCATTGCTGCCAGAAGGATGTCGTCATCAGGGCACCCCCTGAAGTCTACACGGCATCTGACATGGTGGGCGTTGTTGCTGAGTTGTGTGAGCATGTGGTCTGCCCAGTCAGAGCAGCCTTTCAGGTAAGCTTTTGCTCTGACGACTTCGTCGTGGTAGGGGTTGCCGTTGACTCCTGGGGGGCCGGCTGTAATTGGCGCCGGTCTCTTGGGGATTCTCCCCCTGGGTGGTGCAGTGCTATGCCAGTTTTTTGATTCCATATTTCTAGGTTTTTTCCATTCCCTAGGAGATCGTTTTCCTCTGATACTTGTTTGATGATACATAGTGAGCGCGTTGTGAAAGAAATTGCTGTATTGCCAGACTTATGCCTTCCATTGAGAGTGTGCTGCTTTAAGTATACACCCTGCTGAGGGGAGCACCGACGTTAAGGAGCTATGTGGTGTTGTGTGCTTCCCGTTGATTCTAAAAGTGTGTCATTAAGGAGCTTTGTGATTGGCTGATTGTCAAGCCATTGTCCGGTGTCTTATGTCTTGACTATTCAAGAATGTATGCACAGAATCCCCCGACAAGTGTAAATTTTGGTTTTAGTGGTTGTTTGTCAGGTTTTCTTGGTTATTACTATTGTTCCCTAGTGAGTAATAGGAACGTAGTTGTCTCGCCTACGTGGTATGTGATTATCATTATCATATGTCCGTGTATTATGGTACATAGATCATTTTGTTCCTTGTGATCCGTAGGTTAAGGCGTGTTCCGATAAAGCAGAAAAAACCCCGTCACGCCAGTACCCAAAACACTAGCTACAAAGTAACCAGTGTTAAGGGACGGTTCCCGGTTCGGACAGTCCCACATTGCGGCCGGCCCCAGGGCCAAATAGCTTAANGAGGAGCATTAATGCAGTAGATTAGCAGCATGATAGAAGCATGTTTCAAATATGCTAATTAGCTTCCAATGCGAAGCAGATTTGAGGCATATTTGCAGTATGATTGCAGTAGTCTACTGCGCTGGAGCATCTACTGCCTTTTCGTGCGGGTAATAAGAAAGCTTGCGTTCAATAACTGTATTTGTATGAACAAAATGTCAAGCTAATAAACATTTTGATGAAATTATTTTTATTGATTCACAACCGTACCGGTATATGTATGTGTGCTAACCCAAAAACGCTTGAGCAACCGTCATTTTTTTAAAGATGCTAGTACCTCTATAAATATTAATGTCTTTGGAATTGCCCTAACTCTATCCTCTTCTACATTTTATCTAATTCACGAAGAGGACTAAATGTGTAAGACCGGAGAAAATCAACATGATTTTGTATAATCTACATATTTTGTGAGGTTGTTTCAACATCTAAATGCTAAATCAGGCCATTTGTGTGTTTCAGGTCAACCGTTTCTGGCAACGAGGTCGAAAATTTTAACATTATCAAAAAGTTTATTTTATACGTTGTAGCACTTGCTGTCTTCTTGACTATGTACATTTGAAGATATTTAGACCATAAAGTGCCCAGTAATTGGTTTACGAAATGAACAACTAAAGATGTAAATGTTATTCATTTATTTAATGCTGTTGCTACACCTGTCTAATGTGTCTTTAGTCCATCGAATTTCATACTGACGAGAGATGTACATGTACTTTTATATTTTTATCCATGGTCTCACTGGCATTTTGTTATACGTTTTGTTGCTAAGCACCGTTTTATGTTTGCATATTCTACACAATGTCTTTGTGTTTAATTTTTTAAATCAGTTGTAATGTGTCAGTTATGACATTTTGTTAAGGGTAATATTTCTTATCAGTAACAGCGAACAAACTAAGCCCAGCAACTGTCATGGGATAATCATATCAGCCTGAACACCATTTACATACAAATAGGCGGAAGAATGTTTGATTAAGAGCTAGACTCACGCTACAAGAAATCAACGACAACCTGAAGTACGTGTTTTTCCCGGCATGCTTAACGCAAACACCCATTTGTCAAGTAAAATTAAAGGGATAATAACTCTTCGTGTTTCCTGGAGTAAACAACAATTTTCCCATACTTACCAATGGTTAATCCCTGTTTTTTTTCTAAAAAGTTTCTTTTTTTTGTTATAATCTCTTAAGAGATTATAACAGAGTATAGCCATCAATGGAGGTCATGTGGTCTAAAGACAAGCTCAGATATTAGAATACTATCTATAACTGTCGTTATTTTTTTAAATACCAGAATAAATTAAATTTCTGTGAGTTTTTCACAATGTTTTTATTGTGAAATATAGATCTCAACAGTTATTATCCCTTTAAGCATCTGATATAAGACATGAAATGTGGCATTGTTTGTGCACGATGTCGTGCGTACACTACACTTTGTTCATACTAACAAATCGTGGCCAGAAATACAATATTTCAGCTGTCTATTTACGCAGTTTAAGAGTGCATTCCTAGAGATTTAGATCGATCCAACTAGATCGACCTAACTCCCTTGGGGTTCACGCTAAATTGCTGTCAGCCGACCGCGCACGGAAGTTAATTACCCCCTTACAGCTTTTAGGAGGCGGGACAGACATTTAAGCCGGCTAAGCTGACAGTAATCTAGTGAGACTCCCCACGGGGATAGATCGATCTAAAATCTGTGGGAATGGGGTCTAGGTCTTGATTATTGAATCTTCTATAATCTGTATGGTTATATTCTAAACGTTTTCAGCTACGAAGTCTTTCTCATCGTAAAAGCATCCAGC